AATTCGTTGAGGAAGTTGAGGAGTGTATTGTCATTTATAAGACTGTTTGATGTTTGGGAAGAATTATTTGGGGAGGCGGCCTGTGCATACGATTTGGGAGAGTTTGATGGTGTATTAGTATTGGAAGTATGCTGATGAGTGGCTTCAATATTAGAGTTATTAACATAATTAACATTATTTGTATAGTTACTATTTTTTTTTGAGGTGGGTTTACGAAGCTGTTGGAGACTTTTGTATGTTTGACAACCTTTGTAATTCGCGGGATGGTCTCCCTTGCAAAGGGCACACTTGGCCGGCAAATCCCTGGTTTTGGTGCAATGGGTGGATGGATGTTCATCTCCGAAACGGACACATCTTGGTGAGTAGGAGCAATATTTTTTAGAATGACCATAGTCTTGGCAGTTATGACATTGTAATATGTCTCTCCGTTTATGTGGTTCTTCAATTTTTATTTTAGTGTGGAGTATCGAGATTACGTTGAATATGTCAGTATTGATTGCTGCTGGCTCAAAATCGACAAAAAACATTGGAAGATTGTTTTTTGTGGATTTTTGAATAACGTTAGTGACTTGTCGTACCGAGAAGCCAATTTCTTCTATAGCGATTCCTATCTCGACTGTTGGTGTTGACGGGTGTAGGTTACGGATTACGACTCTGAACGGTTTATCTTCCAGTGGTTGATAGGTATGGTACTGTGCTTGCTTTTCTTTTAGAAAGTGAATTGTTTTCCGATAGAATTCAGGTTGAGTAGTTTGTACTTTCAAATTATTTGTGGATGATTTAAATACAAAGTTTTCAGAACCGATCAAATTAATGAGTTGATTCCGAAAGCCGACGAAGTCCAGAATTCCACGAATAAATATTGGTGGAGGTAATTTAATTTTAGCAGGTTGATCTACTTCAATATTTGCAGTGTCGAGTGTGTGAGTGTCAGATGACTCAATGAAATTATCTTCTGTGGAGAGAGGAGAGTAACGATTTGCTGTAATAAACATTGGTTTATTTCTCTTGTGTTCTTGCGTATCAGATTTTGATGAGGAGAGGAGACGTTTATGTTTGTTGTTTGGAAGTTCGAAATTGTTTTCATCTATTTCTACACCAGGGGTAAAGACATCACTTGACACACTCTGTATACGTTCAGATTTTGAAGTATTTTGATTACTGGTTGAAGACTTATCTTTATTTATTTTTGTTTTTGTATTAATAGAATGGCTGGGTTGCCCTAAGGGTTTCATTGCGTGAGGCGCGTTATCGTTGAGGATGCCGAGATAACGGCCTTTAATGAGAGGCGCGGTGTCGCGCCGGCTGGTCGGTGTGCGTAGATAAGGTTGTTATTTAATTGCAATTATAATTACCACTTTTTTTAGGAGTGTAGTACTGATTCAAATTTGGTTTCACTGTATAAGAATTGAACCTGATGACTTTTTTCGTTGCGCATTCAATGGTATAAAAATTTAAATTTTTGACCAACGGAGGAATGAGCAAAATGCATCTGGATTGACTAAGTTCTAAGACGTGTGTCATGAACGGCGTCGTATCGAAGACTAGGGTGGAAAAATGAATTTAAATTATTTAATAGAAAGTGTATAAGGTTATTAGGTATAATACTAATAGTTTCCATTAACTTAATTAATTTTTTTAATAGGTATATGTATTAAGTTTGCTAGTATTTAAGTTGATAAAAAGACAATTTTTTTTAATTTTGATTTCTTTTATTAAATCAAAATATTCTTTATATTCAGTTTAAAATTATTTCTACAATACTTTATTTACTAACTTTGTATAATTTGAAAATGATTTTACCTGTTTTTTTTTTATTAAATTTGAATTAGCTATGCTATAGGCACCCTATAGGTACCTGATTTTAAATTATCACTTATATTTAAATAAATTTACAAAGTTAAAAGATTTTTTTTGTTTTAGTTCATTTGTTACCTACATTAAAACCTTTTAGATTCTAGGCTGAGTGATAAATGTATTTATTTTACAGTGAAGTGTTTTTTTTTGTAACTGATGACGCTTTTTATATCAGGAAAAAGTGCTTCAATGCTCAACTTAAATATATTTTCTGGTGGGAATATAAAACTATTTGGTATGTGGTCGAAACTAAAAAATGAACAATATCTTTCTTAATAATTGGGAAAACAAAAAATAAATAATGAACAACTGGAATACGCAAAACCAAAATCGATTTTTTTATTTTGTTTAAAAATTTAATTTCTAATTAACTTAAGTATACATAAATAAATAAAAAAAAAAAATTTTAATATTCTTTAATATTTTTTCTACGGTGCTTGCCGGTTCTGTGTTCACACTAGGGCTCTCGATTTGGTACGTGTATTAATATACACGTGTACACGTAGTCCGAACATTGTACAATAAAATGTAGGAATACCCGTGTATTTAATTACACGTGTTTTTAAAGTTCGTATACACGTGTATCTTAATACACGTGTATTAAAAGTTCAGATACCCGTGTATTAGGATTACCCGTGTATTTAAAGTCCAGAAACTTGTATACTTTTTTTTTTATTAATAATATTGCCATGTTATTCTGGCGTGTGCTATACAATTTTCGTGTACTGAGTTATTTTGTCTCTTATATTGTTTGTTATCGGCCGATAATTGACATTTACCGATAGATGAAGCCAGTACGGCAATCTGGTCAAAATCTAGAGTTAATATTTTTAACTTTAATTTACGAAACGACGTCCTTGAAGCAACTTTAACGAGTATGATAGATATTTAATAGTGAAGATTACAACATTATCGCAAATTCGTAAATATGTTTTATTAATAAAACTTAAATTACGAGTTGGAGTGATATTATTTCATTTGTGTGTTGTTCACGTCTTGTGTACATTGTCATATGTTTCCATGCTTAAATAACAATAGATTACTATTTTATTAATTCATAAGATGAGTAATAAGTGTAAAAGTTGGGTGTGGCTGTATGCTAAACGGCATGGCGATAAAGCTTACTGTGATTTGTGTACCGAAAATGAAAACAATGAATTTTGTTGTATTGGTGGAACAACAGGATCTTTGGGCAGACATCTAAAAACTATACATAGTATAAAACCACCGATAACAGCTGTAACACGAAGGTAAGTACATTTAATATATATTATGTTCATAAACCATAAATTATCTTTTTTGTTACAAAGAATATTTTTTATATAAGACGTATCATAAATAAACAAATAACAAAATAACAAAATAAAATTATATTACGTCTACACATAGTTATTGAGTGTTTCCACTTATCGTGATCACACTGTATTTATTTAGAAATAATATCTGATTTTTAAAGTAAAATTATGTTTTGCTGTTTTATTAACAGAAATATTATACCTATTATGTTAATTATATATATTATTATGTATATAGGTAGCCAGATAGGTAAAGACTTAAAATTAGTAAATAATAATTAGGAATGCATCGATTTTTCATCATAGTTCACAATATATTTAAAATAAAATATTCAAAATTTTAAAACACTAATCATAGGTACCTACTTATTTATATATTTTGTCATTAATAAAGGGTTGTTTCTGGTCATGAAATTGATAATTCCGATGTCTTAACCAGTTCAACTACGATTGCAAGTTCTTCAGAATCACAAAGTTTGGAAATTGACGCGCCAATACCTAGGAAACGACGACGAACTTTTATAAATCGGGAGGACGACAAAATTTGCAATTCTGAAAAAACCGAACAGATACATCAAGCATTGTCAAAAATGATAGCCGTGAATCAAATGCCCATATCTTTTTGTTCAAGTGAAGGTTTTAAACAATTTATGGATGTTGTTGAACCTAATTATAAAATGTGTAAAGAAGGAGCAATAAAATCTAGAATGAAAGCGTTAAGATCGTCAGTAACAGAAATAATACAGAAAAAATTAAGAGATTCTAAAATTATAGCATGTACATCTGACTGTTGGTCATCATTATCTCAACACAGCTATATTACAGTTACTACTCATATAATTGATGATCAATGGTGCCCGAAGTCGTATACACTTTCAACACATGAAATGGAGGAATCTCATACTGCTGTAAATCTTGCTCATCAATTAGAAGATACGTTTGATAAATGGGAAATTGGTGGGAAAATTATGACAGTTGTCACAGATAATGCGAGAAATGCAATAAATGCTGTTATTGACAAATATCTCTGAAACATACGATGTAACGTGCGCTGCTCATAGCATTCAACTCGCGGTCAACAATGGATTAGGACGAGATGAAATCACTACACTAAGGGCCGTTACACACGAACGATATTTTATCGTACGATTAATTTGTCGCACGAAAATATTATCGTACGATACTGTAGTTGGCAGAACATATGACCGATATTTATCGGACGATACTATGTAATTTTTGCATTTGTAATTCTATAGTTGCACGAGACACACGTATGCACTATACTTGTGTTGTGATACAGTTTTATTTTTAACTTTTTAATAATTTAATATATCTCTAAATACTGCAATGGATAACATTGTAACTCTCTATATGGGTTATAATTTACTAGTAAAAAAAAAAGAAAATAAACAGCAAAATCGAAAATTTTGGGTTCATCCCTTATTAAGTACTCGTCTATCAGAAGGCGCATTTACAATAAACTTTCACGGTCTCAGGAGAGATCCAAGAAATTTTTTTAATTATTTCCGTATGACAGTTTCTGCATATGATGAACTACTTACAACATTCGTTGGACAAAAACTGACAAAAATGGACACAAATATGCGAAAATCTATCACTCCCGCTGAAAAATTAGCAGTCACTTTGAGGTAAATATAATATTTTTTAATCTTTTTTTAGCAACAAATTTTACCATTTTATTAACAAATGAAAACAAGTAAAAATAAAGTTAAACAAAAAAAATTTAATCTTTGTAAAAATGTATATAACTAAACTGAAAAACATAACTTTTAAGTAAACAAAAACAACATTTTAACTTTTTTTAATTCAATAGTTCATGAACTTTTTCTTAAATTAAGTCGATACGTGGATGCTGAGAATTAATAGCTATATAAGAAACTCGTTTATTAAGGAAGACTGTGACTCGGAACGTGAATTAGGCTGCGAATCTTCAGGAGATTCGATGTTTGTGTAGTTTGATGACGAAGGGGAAACAACACTCGAATGTTGTGTAGACATAGGTTGTATGGCACTAAAATATTTTGATGTATCGTTCTGATTGGACACAATTGGTTGATGACTAGATGCATAATTTTGATAAGTTGAGCGGATTGGATAGTTAGGTGACCCCTGTACAGGTGTGTTGTGTTGAAAATTCATATGTTGTAATACAGTTTGATGTTGAATACTTGGACTATGTGAAGATACAAATTGATTGTTATTTGGGTACATTCTATACGAAGGGCTTGCTTGGTATAAGTATTGTGGATGATGTGTGGGAAGTACTGACGCTGTGTGTTGTGGCTGGAGTGTTTCTGATGAAATTTGATTTTGTTTTATTGTTTGTGCAATTCTAAGTACTTCTGTTCTGAATATAAGTGTTTCGTCGTCATTAAATTTTCGTATAATGGGTAACAAAGAATTAAAAAAATGTTGATGTTCATCTGGTTTTTCATCAAAAATTTCTTTTTGAGTTTGTGCATCTAAATATTGCATAAATTTCTTTTCAAGATTTGTTTCTTTTTGTTTATTTTGTTTTGTTTTATTTGATTGGATATTTTGTGACGTAGAACGTGGTTCAGCTTCAATTTCTGAAGGTTGAATTTCAGTTTCCTGCGCATCAACTTCGGTGTTATCTAAATTAATAGAACTTGAAGTTTTTCTCGGAGTAATTGTGTTTATCAGGAATCTCATTTGTTCATGGTATAAATATTGTTTTTTGTATTTTTTTTTTTGCGCCATCTCCTGATTTGGGCTTATCCTCTTTTAAGCTTCTAGTGAACGCATCTCTAAGATTCCTCCATTTCTTTTCTATGCTGTTTCCTATAATTAATTAATAATTTGAATATCGAATCTCAAGTTACATACAACTATAAACTATTTAATAAATACGACGACAGTGGTGTTTTGGAGGGTATACGCGGGTACACGACGTATACCCGTGAACCATCTTATAATATAATAATTGATTATTATTTATAGCATATATAGGTAATTATTACTATAAAATGTATTCAAAAAAAAAATGATATTTTTTATTCCTTTTTATTATGTATAGGTTTTGTTAATGATAATTGCACATATTTTATATTTTTAGTAGTTACTTATTTGACTATTACATGATTATGCTTTTATTTTACAACTACCTATATTTATATTTTTGCCTTTAAATCGGGCAATTATTGAACTTTCCATAGAAGCTTTAAATACTATTAGATAAATCAAGAAATAATAAGGTATAAAATTAATGGTAGACTACTAAATAGTCCGAGGTAAAAATGTCCTAAGAAAAAAAGCCCGAGTAAAAAAGTCAGTGTTTAAAAAGTCCGATATACATATTATAATTAGGTAAAAGGAAAAATACCAGGTGATGCACAAGCACAATCAAACTTCCAATTAGTATTAATACAAATTGTAACTAAATTATTTACCTGACAAAATTAATAAATAATCTTGTACCTGTGTACCAATAACTACTTTTTTTTAATAACATAATATTATACACGACTTTTTAGGCTTAGGCTTTTTACCTTAGGCGAGCGTCGTTTTGAGTGGTAAAATCTGATAAGTTTAGATCCTAATAAATACACAATAGTCGTTGTCATAAATTCATAAATGCGCGTATACCCTCTAGTTTTTTTTGCCAAAACACCACTGTACGACGATATAATATAATGCATTTAACTGTAACAGTGGTGGTGTTTAAAATGTAGCTACTGATACTTATTATATTATATTATTTAAATAATCTAAAAAATTTCAGAGTTCAAAAATTATATAAAAACATATAAAATTGCACTATCTATACTTTACCCGTAACACATATATAAAAATATTATGTTTACTATATTTTAAAATGAAGACAACTTATTATTTAATATTTCAGATACCTTGGGTCTGGGTGTACATTCACAGATTTGCATTATTCCTACAAATTAGGAACATCAACAATTGCTCAGATTATTCGGGAAGTTTGTATTGTAATATGGGATGAACTAGTTGAAGTTTACATGCCTTCTTTTACAGATCAATATTGGCAAAATATTTCTACTGGTTTTGAACAACGAGCGAATTTTCCTAATTGCTTAGGAGCGGTGGACGGAAAACACATTCGTATGATTAAACCCACTGGAACTGGTAGTCAGCATTATAACTATAAACATTATTTCTCAATTGTTTTATTAGCAGTTGTGGATTCAGATTATAAGTTTATATATGTTGATGTGGGATCATTTGGGAAGGACTCCGACTCCACTATTTTCAAAAATTCATCGTTCGGAACTTTATTGGCCAATGAATCACTACATATTCCCAGACCATCTCAATTACCGAATACGAATGAAACTGTTCCATATGTATTTGTTGGCGATGAAGCTTTTGGTCTATCAAAAAACGTACTACGACCCTATGCAGGAAGAAATTTATCGGAAAAAAAAAAAATTTTTAACTACCGTTTGTCTCGTGCACAAAGATATGTGGAATGTGCTTTCGGAATTTTATCGAATAAATGGAGGATTTTTCATAGACCTTTAAACGTTACCACAGATTTGGCGGTTGATATTACGAAAGCTTGTTGTGTTTTGCATAATTATGTACGTGAAAAAAATGGATATGTTTTTCAAGACACTCTGACTATTGATGGGTTCAATGAAATTGAAAGACCTAATAACATCAACCGCGGCAGTAGATTCGCAAGTGATATAAGAAATACATTTGCAGATTACTTTCATACCATAGGAGCTATACCATGGCAATATGGAAAATAGTGAAGTTATAATAATTATTTTTCTAATTCTAAATATTACTTATTAGTTATTAATATCGATTTTTTCGCCATAATATAATTTTTGCTTAAATAGTTTAAATATTGACTTAAAATAATACAATATAACTATTCTTATAATATAATGCTGATGACATAAATATAAAATGATGAGAAATTATTAAATTGTATATATTATAACACAACGTTTAAATAAGAAATAAAATGTCAACTACTTACCAATTTGTTTTTGTTGCTGCCTAGAGATCTTATTAAAATCTGGATAAAATAAGACACATATTTCTTCCCAAGCCGCTCTTTTTAAATTTCTATCAGAATAATGATCCAGGCTTTTATCCCAAAGAAGGGCTCTTGATTGGACTTCACTTATAAGTATATCTATATCTATATTTAAATTGTCGTCTGAAAATTCACAAACTTTCGGTGATGGCGTATTCGCTCCGCCAGAGCGGTCGCATTCATCGGAGGATGACATGGTACTGAGTTTGTTTTTTGGTTTATCGAACGATAATAATCGTTCGTGTGTTTTAATCAATTTATTCCTGTACATTTCGATTGAGATATTATAGTCGTACGATATTTTTATCGTCTGGAATATTAAAGTGCATCCGACAGTTTTCGAGGCGACGTACGATTATCTTATCGTACGACATTTTATCGTGATTGTGTGAACAGCTCTATTTATAAACGTGTAAATTCAAATATCGTGCGATAATATTTTCGTGCGACAAATTAATCGTACGATAAAATATCGTTCGTGTGTAACGGCCCTAATTCAGTTAAGTAGTAAAATGGTTGGTCATTTTAAACATTCCAATGTAGCTAAGCATGCTTTAACAAAAATGCAAGAGCAGCTCGGATTAACACAACAAAGTCTAATCCAAAGTTGTAAAACAAGATGGAATTCAGTATATATGATGTTGGATCGTCTTTATGCTAATAGATGTGCTGTGACAAACGTCTTAGCAGATCGTAATACAACAAATGTTTCAATAGCAAAAAAGTTGGAAATTACGGAAAGTGACTGGACAAAAATGGAAACTTTGGTTATCTTGTTAAAACCATTGCAAATTGTCACAACCGTGTTTTGTGCCGAAACACATTCTCCTGTATCAATGGTTAGACCACTTCTTTCAAAAGTGATTGAAAAACACTTGCAACTAAATAAAGATGATAATGAAGTCGTTATAAATTTCAAACAGACAGTAGTGTCGCAACTGAAAGAACGTTTTAAGCTTAACAATTTAGAAAACATAGTATCTACAAGACAAGTCTCATCATTTTTTGACCCAAGGTATAAAGAATTGGAACATGAAGAAATAGATGTAAGGGAAAATATTTGTTCCAAAGTAAAAAATTTACTGGTTGAAATGAATACTCCAGATAACAGAGAGGAAACTAACGTTTGTGTTCAAAAAAATAAGGGTGCACTTGAATTTTTATATGGCGATGAAGTTCATGACATCAATGATGCTTCGACACAATATCATTCTTACTTAGCAGAACCACAACTGAGGTACGATTTTGATCCATTTGAATGGTGGAAGTCTCATGAAAAAAAATATCCTTTAATAGCCGAGTTAGCAAAGAAATATTTGTCGATACCAGCAACATCTGTAAGTTCGGAACGATGTTTTTCAACTGCCGGGAATGTCGTTACGTCCAAAAGGAACTGTTTAGCACCAGAAAATGTTAATATGTTAGTATTTTTGTATCAAAATCGTAAATTATTATTATAGAACATTTAATGTAAATTTTTTCTTTCATAACTATACTTTGACTGTGTTTAATTATTATTTCATATTTTTGTTTCTTTATCCTAAATTATTTATTCATAAGTTATCATAAGAAAAAATTCTCAACAATTAATTTTTAATAATTGTATTTATACTTTATAGTTTAAGGAATTATTTTTGTTATTATATTGCAATTTGTTATTTATAAAAAATATTCATTGAAAATTCAAATACGGAAACATTTATAATTTATATCATTATATATGAATCTAATTTGTAATTTATTAAAAGAATTGGTTTGGTTTTGTCGCATTTATAAGTTATCTTTATAATGTTTTACTGTCAAGTATATTATAATATAATCGTATAAATAAAACTCAAATTAATAATTATTATTAAAAAAAAGTTTCAGATTTAAAAATTAAATTAAATTCATGTTTACTTTTATAAATGACAATGGGGAGGGGCACATGGGGCACGTGCCCCTGTTACCCATCCTTGTATCTACCACTGATCATAACGTACGGACTCTAAATACACGTGTACACGGACTCTAAATATACGTGTACACGGACTCTAAATACCCGTGTACACGTGTATTTTAATAACACGCACTTTAGTACCGTTTTCATAAGAACACGTACGAACGTGTTCTTAGTTACACGTGAAATAGTGACCCCTAGTTCACACTGCATCGGCACTGAACGTACCGTCACGTTACAGCACGATACGGACCGTCAAAACATTCTTTCGGATGATAGTCGGTCGGACCGGTCCGTGCTGTAACGTGACGGTGAGGTGTCGTCTGTATCAATGTGAATTACCTCATATAAACTAATAATGTAATATTTTGTCGTGCCGTTACGTGCTGTGATGGTCCGTGCCCTGCCGTAACAGTGTGAATCGGGCTTTATTGTGTCCGTTTGTCGCGTATAGACGTCTGATACAGCACTGGTATTTTTTCTGATATTTTTAATTTAAAATGCTAATAGATTTAGTGAGAGACCGTCCATGGTTGTATGATATGAGCATGAAAAAGTATAGTGGTCACGCATATAAAGAGACTGTATGGAAAGAAATCGCTTCCATATTAAAACAACGAGGTAAGTAATAAACAAATAAGCAAATACTTGGTACTACTATTACACTAAGTTATAACAGCCTTGATGTTTATGTTTTTGTAATGCAAAAACATGTACCTATTTATATTTATATTTTATGATATTATTTTGAATAAAATAATTTATATTTAAGCTATTTAGTATTTATGTGTGTTGTATGCGCCAACTTTTTTTTCTTACGTGTGATTTTCTCATTTTGTTGTAATTCAAAAACAAATAACTTTAGATATCTACTTAATATTTACCTATACCATAATATGTTTATTTAATAAATTCTTCAATATATACTTCATGCAATTTTCAAAATATTTTGACTTGTTTTGAGCTGTTTACGGAAATTTTCAATTTTTAATTTTGGATTCTGAGTGGAGCGATGAATGTATTGATTTTACAACGATTTATGACGTTTTTTATTTTTTTTTTATTTTTGTGTCTGACACCACCTTTTAGGACAATAAAAATGATTAGATTTTCTTCAACAGTATTATTTCTGATAAAAAGTAAAAAGTAAAAAGTAAAAATTTCCCAGTAGTTTTCAAAAGGGGTAGAACATGATTGCGTACGTTTGTCCTTTTTGGCAACGCGATTGCGTATGAAATTATATGCAACGTTGTCAAACTTACTTATTTCATCGTATTAATTAATAATATAATATAATATAATATAAAATAATAATAATACAAAAAATATCGAATACATTTAAAGTTCTAAAGGTGCGATTCCTATGCACGCGTCTAGAGACACGCGGCGCGATTTAGTTTTAGCCGCGCAGGTACTACTTTACTTGTTTTTAAGTATAACCGATTCCTATGACCGCGGCCGCCGCGCGGCAACGACCGCTTCGAGGGCAGTCAAATCGCACGAGCCGCGCGGCTATTCATATTTTAATTTTCAAAGTTCGACATTTCGTTAACACTGTGTGACACAAAATGTCTTCAAAAGTGTCATTCACAATAGAAGAAGACATACTATTGGCTGAATCTGTAAGAGAACATCCATGTTTGTTTGACTTAAAAAATGCCAATTACAAGGATCAACAAATAAGGGACAATGTATGGAAGCTTACATCAAATAACCTGAATAATAAAAGTGGTAAGTAGTATACCTATTCAACATATTAATGAAATTTCAAAATTAATTGTTAATTTGTTGCGTACCAGTCAGTGTAGACTGTAGAGTAATAGGTATCTAGTTAGTGTCTATACAATTTGAATTATTAACATGTAGGTAGATAATTACCTAAATTAAAATAAAATATCCTATCTTAATATTATCATATTAACCTAAATGAAAAGGTACATATACACATAATATCGTATTATATTTCTGTGGCTTGGTGCAAGAAGGGCCAATGTCACATTTTGATGAAATTGAGGTTCTTTGACCAATGTAATTTTTTTTCGATTATTTTCCTGTTGATAAAAGGGCCAATGTATTTGAACAAGTGTGACCAACTTAGCGTAAAGATTGGCCATTTGATTTGAACGAAGAGTTAAGTGTTGTTATTTTGAAGATAAGGCTTATCAATACATTGGCCATATCAGTGAAAAAATCATATTTAAAACAATTGGCCAAAGTGTAGTTAGGACTAAATGATTTTTGTACATGTGTAGATTGGCCTATTTTATTTTTCAAACTGATAATGGTTTATTTAGCTTAACTGATAATAATTTATTAATAACGGACGTTAAAATGTAATAAAACTCAATTAAATTGTTTATTGTTAATTGTTAGTTGTTAGGTAACTTAGGTATTAGTAATGTTATTTATTTTTTAATAGTGTAAAATTAATTTGAGTACAGTGAGTTCTAGATCAAGACACTTGGTGCGCATGTGTCAGATGGGTAAGTTTAAATATTATTATGTTCTCTTTTATAAAATACTGTTTTTATTATAAATTAATATTTTAGATCCATCAACATCATCTTCCACTCAATCTTCATTAAATAGTATTGTTAAAAGAAAATTATCCTGCATATCATCTAGTTCAGAAAGTAGTATTGATTATAACGATTATTCATCTGATGAGTATGTACCACCCTTTAATGACAAAAATGTATCTAGTTCTGAGTCTAATGATTCAATCATGATTGATAATATTGAAGCAAATAATAACACTTTAAATGAACAAAGTATACCAAATGCAGAAAAAAATGATTTTGTGTCAGAAACTGATCAACTGCAACACAATGAACAATGTTTACCAAATGCAGAAGAAAATGAATTTGTGCAACAAATTGATCCTGTACAACAAAATAAAAGAGGACGTAAGAAAAATGAGGGTCTAAAAACTAGAAAACGATTATCAAATTCTAAAGCTTGGGTAAGAAATGTTGAAAAAGAAAAAAAAACAAAAGGCCTTGAATATGTTAATACAAAAAGTAAAATAATAAAAAAAAAGTCTTTATTACCGCCATGTTCTTGTAGAATGAAATGTTTTGAAAAATTTTCCAGTGAAAACAGAGAAATCATTTTCAATAACTATTACAATTTACCAAGGGAAAGTCAACAACAGTTTATTGCATCGTCTGTCATTGAAACTGATAAAAAAGTGCAAAGGGTCAGAAAAAACAAAGAAGTGGAGAGTAGAAGAAAATATAGTAGATTATATTTTCTTTCAAAAGGAAGTGAAAATATTAAAGTTTGTCAACTCATGTTCTTAAAT